GATAACCATAAAAGTAATTAATAATCAATCTTTATTTTAAATAATAAAGCGAATTGAATTTTTTTTAAAAAATTAATCACAAATATTATATATTTATAAATTTGGATTGATTTTACAAATTTAATTAGTTAAGGTTCTATGTACTTGGATTAAGGTTAGATTACTTTTGGGTTCGTGTTTTGAGTTTAATAACGGATATTATATTTATAAATAAATTACAAATTTATTACTTAAACTATTAGTTTTGATTCGTTTTAGTAACTAAACTTTCATTTTTTTTTCAAAATCATATATAACGTTTATTTTTCATTTCATGTTAGTAACCCACCATTAAAAACTTAACGCATTTAGTATCTAAACAATATGTTTTAGTCCGTTTTAATACCTAAACTTTCAAAATTTTCAAAACTTAACATTAAAATTTTGTATAGATACTAAAATGAAACAAAAACTAAAGTTTTTAACGGCGGGTATTAAAATGAAACAAAAACTAAACTTTAAGTATAGTTTTAAAAAATTGAAAGTTTAAGTACTAAATCAAAATAAAAATGATAGATTGCATGTTAAACGCATAATTTACTCTATATTTATTTATGCCCGAGCTCTAAAGAATGGATAATTTATATATGTAGGGTTTGTAAAAGGACCAAGTCAATTTTGATTATTGTTGAGTTTGACTTGACTTTAAAAAAAATCAATTTTAGACTCGATTTGACTAAAAAACTCGTGAATTTAAAATTGTCAAACTCGACTTGAGCTCAAAATATAAAAAAAAACAATAAGCCCACGAACTTAAAATTTTCAAACTCGGCTCAAAATAAAAAATTACAACTCAAATCGAACTTGAAAAACATGAACTTTCTCAAACTTAACTTGATTGAAACTCAAACTCGAGCTCGGACCTAAATCTTAAGTATATGAAAGACTTATATTATATATTTAAAAAAACAACAACATAAAAATGTTAATGTTATTAATAATTTAATTTTAAAAAATAAAAAATTAATATATTATTTTTCAAATAACCCACGAGCTTTTTGAGTTGGATATCAAGTAACTCGTTTGGCTCGTTAAAAAATCAAGTCAAGCTCAAGCTCAAATCAAACCTATTTGACTCAAATGTTGACTTAGTTTTGACCGAGTTAATGTTGAATACCTCATGATTAATTTTGTGTCAGTATATATGTTTTCAAAATTGTTATATTCTAATCAATAAATAATAAATAATATTTTTAGAACTAATCTGAATTATCATCGATCACTATTATCAGATATTTTATATCAGTCATTTTATAACTTAAGGAGTAAAAAGGAATCTTTTATTTTATTTTCCAACAAAAGAGATTATATTTATCTTTCTTAACAAGTACAAGAGATTATCCTCCTACTTATTTTGATTAATTGATAATCTCTCCATTCATCAAATATTTCATCTTTTATGATAACTGTAAACTTAGAACCTTAAGATATTTTTAGGGAATGAAACTTTAAGTGTCATATCAGCATTGCTTTTATGGGAGCTAGTGGCAGTGGCTATTATGAAAGTGAATTAAATTTTTATGACTATAATGCAATTTTAACAAGTTTGATTACCAAAGTAAAGGAAGTACAAAAGTAAAACGACTACAATTGGAATTTACCGTACTCTATTATTAGACAATTTTTACAAATTGGATTTATACTGAAGGGCTTAACATTTGGGATATAATGAAACTATTTTGGGTTTGGGTAAAATAGTAATGGGCTTATATATTAAAAAAACTTAAATTATCAGCTCTTAATCTCTAGCTAGACAGCTAAATGTATATAAGTTCATTCAATTTGCACGGATCAAGTGACATCCATAATAAATGAATTATTGTTATTCTTTCACGATCCCGGTTTGAACACTATAGATGCTAGAGGTGTGAGTGTTCAATGCCGAAAGATTTAAACTTATCTTTGAACAAATATTGTCTTGTACTTATCCTAGATTAATCATTGTCGAACGCTTTAAATTTGACTGCACAAAAAATTAAAAATCATTAAATATCTTCTAAACACTCGAAACTAAATGAGTATTTACAGAGATAAGTCCCTGTAAAAAAAACATCACCTTAATGTCAAAACTTGGATCATGGGACAACCACTAAACCATTAACTAAATGTTAAATTACCTTCATAAACCAAACATAGCACATCTATTATGCCACTAACAGAATGTTGCTATATTTAACATGCAAATCATTTAATAATTTAACTGAACCAAGATCCATGTGTCTTTCTAATATATTGGTGGATTTCTGGGACAAAGTTTCTGACATTTGCTAACGACACCAAATCATAGGGTTAAATGGGTTCCTATTTCAGCTCATAACTTAGGGGTACTTGCTTATAAATATGCCCAACCAATTCATTTATATCCCATTATTTCTTCTTCAATTTTTTTGTACTACTTGTACAATTCTATTACCGACAAAATTAATTTAAATTTATTTATAAAAATATGTTTATAATAATTTAAACTAATAAAAATGGAATCAGATTAAAGACCATGTATATTTCTTTGGCTTCATTTCAAATTAACGACCATCGTTATATAGTTATTTTTTTGGGATGTTAATCAACAAAACGTTGGACCAACTGTTTATGAATTGATTATAACAAACGAGTATGAATAAAATTTTTAAGTTTATTTAATAAACCAACGAACAAAAATAAATGTGTATTCAATTCGTTTATATTTACAAGCAAGCTTGTTTATTGACACACTTATAAGTTTGTTTAATTTATTCTTCTTTTCCTATTTTTACATTTTAAATATTGATAAAGTTATGGATTAAATTGAACATGAGGTGAAGTTTGAAGTTCAAATTGTGAAGCCTAAAGAGATTAAAGATTAATTATGTAATTTCACCATATTCATGTGTACGTTGATGAACATATAAATGAAACAAAGTGAATACGAACACCTTCAAAAATAAACAAATAAACAAGATATTAAAAATCTAAATGAATACATATCGAAAATTAACATCTTAAAAAATAAACAAACAAATATAAACATAATATTGTCCGTTCAAACCCGATTCATTTACACCCCAAGTTTATAACCTATTTTATATTTTTATGAAGATTCTGCCTTCATTTCATCAGCTTTTCCCTTCAACTTAGGGTTAAAAGAAATTAAAGAGGGCATCGAGCAGCCTTCAGTGTCTGAAATGTAGTTTGGGCTAAGATTTTAATGCAATGTTCATTGAGTGTATAGTTATTATTGTTGCTTTCTTTCTTTTACGTAGTAATTAAAATATATCGGCTGGACTTAATCTTTTGTCCCTAAAGTTTAAATATTACATTAATTTATGCATGTTATTGTTATTATTATGTTTGTCTTCGGTTTCTTTTTATTCTTTTACATTACGTACACTTCATATTAATTGACAAATATGAGTGGCTTTACAAATATATGTTTAGACACAAATAATATTGTACGTGTACCATATTAAATAATGTGCATGTGTTTCACGTTACCACAATCAGAAATAGTATACACTGTTGGGTCCCCTTACTTTTCGTTTACAAAATATGGGACAACACAAGGGGTTGATAACTATAAAATATACATTATAACTTAGCAATATAAATGAGTAGAAAATAATTGATTTACGGTCTATGTTAGGGTTTAATTGTATATGTCTCTTCAAATATTAGTGCTTACGATGTTCGAATTTAATTGTTTTCATTTTGAAGATATAACGTGCTTTATCCGTAACAAACATTTATTAATATTTAAATGATTTTTTTAAAATATGATCAAATAAAATAAATTAACTTTCAAATATATTTTTAATACAAATATAACATTGACATCATAGAGAAATAAAAAGGGGGAAATGGTATATAATTTGATACATTTTATAATAACTATTCATAATGTTAATGAAGCATTTCTTATAAATATTTATCAAAAAAATAAATTAAGTTTGACACATTAATTAACAGAATATATGCAATTATGCACTAACATTGCAATAATTATTATGAAATTAAGAATATCACTTTTCAAGTGTTTAAGGGGTTAATGTTTAGTGAATTGAAATTTTAAATGTTAGTAATTTTTTAAATAATGAATTTAACAAACCTTAAACTTGAACTATAAAAGATGTTTGGTTTATTTTTAAAAAACAATAAATGATGAGTATGAACCTATCAAGCTATCCGGTGATAAAAGAGAGGTTATTCTTCTTAGAGGTATTGGATTTGAATGGTTGTATTTACAGGATATGTGTATGTTGTCAATAGTTAAAGAATATTTTAAACAAATGCTACTTTATAATCACCGATATTTAAAAAAAAAATTAAGTGATGAATATAAAAGTATTCTGTCGAATGATATAAAAACTAAATTTGAGCAACTTATGAACAAAAAAAAATATACATACATGTATTTAGCTGCTACCAGCTTAGAAAATTTTCTCTTTAGTTTCATTCTCTAAATCATTTGCTACAGATTCAGAGAAGCAATGGTGGAACATATAAATGACTGGTTAGGTATTCATGTTCCACTCGCAAAAAATATATATTAAAAACTCTTTAGAATATACACATTTATTCCTCATAATTTCAAATTAACATTTTTTTAGTGTACAACAGTGCATATATTCTTATAAATTGGTTATCATTTCTTAAACTTAATAGTGTAGTTCTTTTTTCTGCTGTACCATTATATAATGTGGCTTTAAAGTTGATAATAAAGTACTGATATTGTGTTTGCATATATGACAGCCTTAAGCGTTAAGATGCACAAAAGAGTGAAAGACAAGGTTAGATAAATTGAAGAAATTAACAACGCAAGAAAGAAAAGGAAAATTTTCAAGCAATATTCTAGAATTCTGATAATGGATCTTAAATTCGAAAAAGTTAAAAAAAAAAAGTACAGTGCAGATTAGTAGTATAGTAGTAGTAGTACAAGTTACAACCTAGGCACTGGGCAGAGAGAAAAGAGGGTTTCTGGCGATGGTTTAAGGGAGAGTTAAGGCTACTTTAGGCGGAGAAAGAGGCCTGGGAGAGCTGTTGCTGCTGCACTCTTTCTTAAGAGTCGAAGCAGTGAGCGGAAAAAGTTCGAGGGTTTTAAGTGGAGGTCTAGTGGTGAAGTAGTAGCATGGCGATGATGATGATAAAGAGGGACCCACATCAACCATCATCAACCAATCACCGCCGTGCATCCTCATCATAGACTTATCATCAATGTCTGCTCTTTCAGGTACATCCAACTTCCACGTGTAATTCATCACCTGCTGCTTGGCTGCATCCTCCCGAACCCCTACCTGCTACCAGCAGGCAACAGGTATATTTAAACAAGACTCCAATTTATTTCGATGACTGAATTAAAAAAATAACAGAAACCAAGCACATGCATGCACACACACATATGTATACATATATAAGCAATCATATACAAGCATGATGGATGTACAGCATCTTACAAGAAAACCCTAAATAAATGAACTTGTTTACCCGAGGAAAAGGAGTGGGTGAGTTATAGTATGAAAGATGTTGAAAAGAAGGAAACGCCAGAGAATCAAAGTAGTGAAGAAAACGGGGATTATTTGGGTGATAAAGTTGTTGTTTGCTGAGTTTCCTTCTGAGCTTCTGCCTCTCCCTGGCCTTGTGGTTTTGGAACCAATAAAATACATTTTTGGCTTCAATTTTGCCGTAGGAAGAGAGGTGGGAAGTGATCTGTTGGATTTGAGATGCATTCGGGGTTTTGATTCCACTCCTATACATCTCTTCTAATATCATAACTTGCTCCGGTGTCGGACACCACCTAGTGGAACCTGCCGGAGACATGTTTTAGTGACGGAACAAAAAGAGGTTGGTTAGAAAAGTATGTTAATAATGTCTTGTTTTGATTGGAAGTGAGAAAAAGGGGTGTATAAATAGATGGAAGAAGAGTAATTGCAATGTTACGAGAGAGACAAAAAGGACGGAGGAGGGGTTAATGGAGTGTGAAAAAAGAAGCAAGTGCAGGTTGTCATGCTGCTGTTTCCCTGTTAGAGGCATTCAAGTTTAATGCAAATAGTCTGCCCCAAATCGTTGCCCCCACCTAGGGATTCAAACGACGGATACGAGCTCCAGTAATATTGAGTTTAACTCGAATCAAAAGTTTAAAGTTGAGTTTGAATAAAATCGAAAGCTCGTGAGGTTAAAATTGTTAAGCTAGACTCAAACTCAATAAAAAATTGAAACTCGACTTGAGGTCGAAATAATTTAAACTCAAAACATTCTTAGACTTAACTCGATTAAGGCTCAAACTTGACCTCGATTCTAGTTTGAACTCGAATTCAAGTATGAACTTTAAGTACATGAAAACATTGTATTGTATTTAATATATATATATAATAAATTAATTTAAAATTTTTAAAAATTAAAAAATTATTTTTTATTTGCTCGTGAACTTTTCGCGTCAGGTATCAAGTAAATAATTTCGGCTTGTTAAAATTCGATTCAAGTCTATTCAATTTGAATGTTGATTGAGTCAAACTTGACTAGCCTACTATCTGTCTCATCTCATTTATGATTCAATGTGTCCAACCAATTATTAGTTTATTTAAAAAAATAAATGAGAAAATAAGAAAATATGGATGACAAATAATTATTTAAGAGATCATTTAAATATTTTAGTGTGAAACCGTTTTATAACAAATATGATTTTATGTAAGTTGTGTGTCAATTTAAAATAAAAAGTGGCTGAATGGTAGGAGGGAGAGGTGGGGGGCAGACGACTAGCGTTGCATTCAAGCGTAGCGTTTTTCATTTTTAATTAAAGTCTACTATGTTCACCAATAAGAAAGAGAGGACCTATAAAGCAATAGGGTGATGAGTGCGTTGAATGATTATTATGTCAATTTCAGCATAGCCAATCTTTTAATGCTTAATATTAAAATAAGAGTTTAAATTATATCATTTTTTTCGAATAAACATTTAAAGTATTTTTTTTGACTAGGTGTCTAACGTTATAAACGTCATCATTTTAAGCGTTTAGCTGTTAACGACGTTAATTTCTCTTGATAAGTGACACATGACACAATCTGATGATTCCGAAATTTATTTTTTTAAAATATTAAAAATATTATTATATATATAAAAAAACTCTAATTTCTCTTAAATTATAAAACAACCCAAAAATCTCTAAAATCCTCAAATCCTAACCTTAACCCACAACCACCGTACTTTCCAACCACAGTCACCATCGTCGACGTAGTCCCTGCCATCTTCCTAGTCACACGTCATCGTAGTTGTCGTCGATTAGTTGTCGGAATCGCGTGAGATCGTGATTTTGATCCTAAGATTCGCGGGGTATAAACGTCGATTTATCGTCGATCGACCATCGTTCGGTCACAGTTACATAAGGTTTTGGTCGATGGGGGAGGGGGAGGTCGGGTGGAACTTCATCAACAGCAAAGGGTGACAACCAACATTGGTTTCGGGATTGAAATGAAGGTTTTCAAAAAGTTTTGGGTTTATTTCAATTTTTTGTTTTTTTTTTAAATATATAATTTTAGTTTTTTAATTTTAAATAAAATTTTTAAAATTATCATATTGTGACACGTGTCACTTAACGAGAGAAATTAACACCATTGACGGCCCGGACACTTTGTAAAGTTAGACACCGGAATGAGTAAAAAATACTTTGGGTACCTATTCGAGAAAAATGATATAATTTGGGCACTTCTAATGTGTTAACTAAAAATTCTATTTATATTCTCATTGAATAAAATAATGCATCTCATTATATTTTTAAACTACATAAAAATTTGACGAGGTAATATCATCTTATGTGTATTAAGATTAAATTTGACAATTCACAAATATAAATTATATCTATTTTCTCGAAAAAATAATATCTATCTATATTATATAATATATATATATATATATATATATATATATATATATATATATATATATATATTTCCTCGGTGGCCACTTGCACACGGTTGAATTAAAACGACAATGAATATGGCATTTATTTACTTCATTAAATTTTGTTTAATATAATTTCGATAAGTTTCAAAATCATTTTATGAGATTATTATACATGGTTAATATTTGCATTTAATAAAAATAAAAATAATGAACGTTTACTAGTTATCCTTTTTCTAGCAATATTATTATATTAATATTTTTAATATAAAATGTCCAAACCACTTCAATTTTTTTCAATTTAATTTAAAGTGATTACGAGTGATAGCGTTTGTTTTAAGGACTCTTAACTATTGGAGTCGTTGATGTTTTAACCTAGGACCTCTAAGAACTAAGGATAACAGTCTCCCCTTTACCCACTTAAATAATTTGGTTCGTGCCAAATCAATCTCTAAACTCTTGTACTAAAGTGTTTTAAATATTTTGATATAACTATAAGATAATACATATATATGATTTTAAATATAGATAAATTGATGTATATCTATAAATAAAATTACTCGAATCTAGGTCATCCAAAAAAATAATATTATCTTTATCACTGAAACATCTCTTTATCTTTAAAATAATAATTATATTAATTGAGTTAAAAACTCAATTAATAATATTTTAAATTTATTAAATTTAAAGAGTATCGTAAAAGAATTTAGTTATAAAATTTTGTTTTACAAAGAAAATACTAGATAGCAGCCCTCAAGGTTAGAAACGGTAAATGAAAATTTCATACCTTAAAACGTATATATAGATCTATATAGACATATACCATTTCGATATATATATTTAGTATAAATACTTTTTTGCAATCACAAACTCTTCTTATGACGTTTGTTTACGTTTATAGAGCTCCCATTGTATCTCAAATATGAGACATCGTAGTTAATATACTCGTGGTTGATTTGTTTATTTATTCTTATATTACAAGGTGGGGCTGTCCTATAAAGACACTGCCTTACAATCGTGGGGTACCTCTTATTTAAAAACTACGTCATCAGCGTCTATACTAGATTACACATATGTATACATAAATGGGTAAACTACAAGTTTAGTATTCAAAATATTACTTTTATTCCGTTTTGATACATAAACTTTATTTTTTAAGAACTATACTCAACATTTAGTTTATGTTTCATTTCGGTACTCTGATATTACAAATTTAACGATGATGTTGATGTGTCACAATAAAATAAAGTCACGTTATCATTGAAAAAATAAAAATGTCATATCAATAGTTTTGTTAATTTTTTAACGGTGGTGTATCAAATCGAAACTTGAACTAAATGTTAAATATAATTTTGAAAATAAAAAAGCTAAGTACTAAAACATAACAAAAATAACAAGTCAGATGCTAAACAAGTAGTTTACCAAATAAATATTTTTCTTGAACTCGTTTACTCAAAACATTTTAGAATATTGTATAGTACATAATAAATAATAGAGAAAATAACCTCAGTGACCAAAAATGCCTTATAATACACGATTTTAACCAATTTTTTTTGGATTTGCCAAAATGACCAACTAAATCGCAATGCGATCGATAATTCGCAACGCGATCTCCGGTATCGCAAATCAGTTTCCAGATTCGCAAAGCGATTCTGACTATCGCATTGCGATTTCCCAAATTCGCGTTGCGATTTTCCTAATTCGCAATGCGAATACGTAAATCGCAATGCGATTACGTAAATCGCAATGCGATTACGTAAATCGCAATGCGAATTAGGAAAATCGCAATGCGATTACGTAAATCGCAATGCAATTTTCCTAATTCACATTGCGATTTACGTAATCGCATTGCGATTTAGTAAATCGCAACGAGATTCTGACTATCGCAATACTAAATTTCAAATTCGCAACTCGATTTCTGAATTCGCAACAGGTTTTAATTTCGCAACAAAAATGTTTTGGGTATATAAATACGCAGCAGCAACAACTCATAACCTAAATCCCTAAATCGCAACTCATTCCATCTCCATCTATCACTCTCTCCGGCGACATTCGTTCCTATATCCAACGACATCCTTCCCCATCCGGCAACAGGTTTTAGTTTCGCAGCTCGTTTGTTTAGTAAATTAATTTACAATAATGAAATCATCTAATGTTGATCATGTTTGGATAGATTTGTGTTTTGGAGGGTCATGGGAGAAGTTTCATGGTGTTTTACAATATATGACTTTACCCATGAATCTTCAACTAAAACTGTCATTAAAAAAGTTAACTTATGAAACTCTAACGTTACGTGTTGCAAATAAATTGAATTTAGAGCCCCTAAGTGGATTTAGGCTATCTTATCAGAGAAATGGTAAAGTTTATTTGTTAACCGACAATGAAGATGTTGAATGATTCATTGCTTACATTAGTGTTTCAAGTGATGATGTTACATTGTATGTTGTTGAACCTAGAAGTAGTGAAGTTGGGTCAGTAGCGGGTAGTAATCAACTAAGTTTTTCAACCCCAGTTTATGGTGCTCAAAATTTAATGGTTCCACCACAATTTCATCACCAAGCAAATATTGTTTCACCACATTTCCAATACCAAACACAATCTTAAACCCCACAACATTTCCCTAATCCAAATGTAACACCCCAACCCGTACCCGACCTGGATACAAGTCCGAGATGTCACATTGACATTTTCAAAACCTTTATTATTGTAAAATAACTGAACATTTGAATATATATTAAGAAAATACACTCATGTATTATTCAATTATGTTTGGTAAAAAGTTTTCAGATAAAAACGTGTTTATGAACGGTGAAATACGATATAATCAGTAGTACAGTAACCTGCTACAGTGATTTTCCGTAAATTGTACATAACACTCGTAAACATTTAACATTTCATTTCTTTGCATTTGTACTTATATGTAT